TTTTTTTGGGGGGGGTGGGTAGGGTGGGAAATAATGCCTCGGTGGGATTTATGCCTTTGGGATTTGGGTGTTTTCCTTTCCACTCTGTGTCAGTCCAATCCTGAGGCGGATGCTTTGACCTTGATTTGGCGGCTTCGTTTCTCTCCCACGATTTTAGACCAGTTTTAAGTTCGACATCTTAGTTTGTGTCGTTATTTTCCCCAGGCAGTATCCTGGATCCAAAGCCTTTAGCCTTCAGTGAATTCCAGTTATTTAACGTAAAAGCCTGTCCAGCTCTCTCTTATTAATTTTAAGAGCTGGTACCCTCGTGGCCTTTGGGGCAAAAGGTATTTCTGTTTGATTACCGGAGGCATTATAGGCAAACCCAGACGGGCATCAATAGGAGCGTTATGAGTCGTGTGCCAGTGGGTGCCGTGTGAAACCATTTCCCAAGCGTTACACAAAGCGCCAGCGCTGTGCCCCAGCGATGAGCTCCGCTGAAAAGGTCTCGCGGTGCCTTCCTCATCCCGTCCTGCTGGTGCTGGACTGGGACGGGAGTCGGGCACGCAGACCGGTATCCGTCGTTCCCTTCTGCCTGACCTTTGGGCTGCGGTCGTGGGGTTGATCAATATCTCAAAAGCATCGCAGCGGGGAAACTCGATTGGAAAACAGCTAATGAGATCGTCCCCCAAACCCTGCGGAGGTTCCTGCCCCTTCCCCTCTCCCCCTGCCTCCCCGCGCGCCCCGGCGAAGGTGCAATACTAACCGTCTTGCTCCACCAACCTCCAGGTGAAACGGTGTCACTAGTGGACGTGGACATCTCTCAGCGAGGACTGACCTCCCCTCACCCTCCGACTCCGCCGCCTCCGCCGCGAAGGAGCCTCAGCCTGCTAGGTACCGTCCCGGGAGCATCCCCTGCCGTCCCTGCCTCCGGGGGCGGCGGAACTGCCCCTCTGCCCTTGCGGGGACGGAGGAGGAGCGTCCCAAGGGTCCCCGGCAGCGGGCTCGCTGCACGCTCGTCTGAGCCCGTACCACGCCTGCTCGCTCTTCCCCAGCGAAGGATTTCTTGCTTTTCATTGAAGGCTTCGAGCGTTTCTCTTCGCTGAGGCAGGAGGGGGAGGGGGGGGCGGTGGTGGAGCAGTGTGAGGTGGGACGCACCGCGCTGGTTTCGTAGCGGTTCTGCTGCTTTTGGAAGCTCTCCCCCCACCCCCCTGTCCTACCCATCACCAGCGATGCCAGTTCCCTTCTGTGCCCTCTGGTCGGTGGGACTGGAGGCTCCCGGGGAGGCTGCTGCACCGGGAGCCTGGCTTCGCCGCTCCGCGTCCTCCTCTGGAGGAGGCTCCTCTGAGCGGGAGCAGCTTAGGAGGAGGGGTAAAGTCAACCTTAGTGAGGAGCACCTTAAACTGCACATCCCACGTGCCGGGTCTGTGAAATATCTCCTCGAAACGCCTGTCTCGAGCTGCCTGCGTGGAGCTAGCAGGGCAGGCAGACGGACTCCATCGCTCCATCACCGTGTACGTGCGAGGGTCGGAGCTGGTGTGAAGCAGCAGCGGCCACCCGCGCTCAGAAGCGCGAGAAGGACGAGGAGCTGCCGGTGGGAAGCTCCATCTTCACCTCCTCCCGGCGGCGCGGGTTCGCTCGGGCTGCCTTCTCAGGCGCTCGGCGGCGCGGGGCTCGCTTTCCTGTTTTCTGAATCTCTCTCGCCTCTGTTCTCTCCTAGATGATATCAGTGGGACGCTGCCTACATCTGTCCTAGTGGGTCCGATGGGCTCCTCCCTGCAGTCTTTCCCTCTGCCTCCGCCTCCTCCGCCCCACGCCCCAGGTCAGCTTAGCCTTAGCAGCAAGGCTCTGCCTTTCCCTTCAGGGATCTGCGCTTCGGGGGGGGGTCTTTTCTTGGCAAACTTTGGGCTTTAACGCAGCGGCGCTGCCCGCTTCTCCCCCGTGGGGACACGCGGTCCTGTGCTGCTGAGCGCTCACGTACCGTTGTGTCGAGGCTCTGGTTTCGGCGCGGTGCGGCTCTCGTTGCCCGCAGTAGTTTTGCAGAAGCTTGTGATTGCACCGGCTTTATCCCTCGGTTCAGCCTCTCCCCGTTTTCTCGGGTTCCTCGTGGAGGAAGCGCAGTCCCCCCTCCCGGTGTGCGCTGTGCCAGACGAGGTGTCAGCAGTGCCAGGAATGCGCCGTGGGCCCGGGGTTTTTGGCACAGGACCCCCGGCTGTGACGCCCAGCCCGCTGTGCGGTCCAGCTGCGCGGCACACGAGGATGTTGCCTGCGCATTTACCCATTTCCTTTTGGTTTCCTTCAGGACCCAGAGGGTTTTAACTGCCCCTTTTTTCAGGACGTGTGTTAGAATCACGGAATGGTTTAGGTTGGAAGGGACCTTGAAGATCATCCAGTGCCACCCCCTGCCCTGGGCAGGGACACCTCCCCCCAGCCCAGGTTGCTCCAAGCCCCGTCCAACCTGGCCTTGAACACCTCCAGGGATGGGGCAGCCACAGCTTCTCGGGGCAACCTGCCCCAGGGG